ACCGACGTGATCCGCACAAATTCCCGCAAAACATTGCTCGGCACGTTCTCTATGGCAGGAATCACCACTACCAACGGCACAGAGTGACATTTAACCTCTGAAAAAGAAGGCAACTGGTAATTACGATTCGACGTCTTGGAGGCAACTGAAGTGAAACATGCTTAAGACTGGCGAATCCCTTACGAAGAATACGACCGTCACGAATCATCTGCATGCTTCATTTTACTGTTGTCTTTACTTATCAGACGTTAAAGATCCCACTGCCTGAACAAATGACAATTTGAGACAAATTTTGCAATCAAACAAGAAATCCTACAATCTGCTCACCAGACAATTTCAATATACTATTACTTGGCCTGGTCCGCCGACAGCTCTTGCGAACCTTAGCCTTCCATTTGCCCACACTTTTGGACTTGCAAACCGACGTGGCGACCGAAAGGCCTAAAAAGCATAGTAATTATGCAACACTACTCACAGGTAGTTAGCAGACAAATCACAAAACTACCTGTCACGCTTTTGGCCGTACTCAAGCCCATTGACTCATGCTGAAAAGAAGGGGCTAGTAAGACATTCACTCTTGCTGACCACAAAACACTAGAGGTAATGAAGATGTACGACAAAAGGCGGTGATCTAGTGCGGTTTCCTCACCTTTCAACATAAGGCAAAACAACCCCACTAGTCCACCACATCATTAATACTCACTGATGCAAAGTTTAGTACAGAAGAATTGCATTGCTGATCTATGGAGAAGAAAATTTGGTCCGTAGTAAGGGCTTCTGCACCACAATCAATTATGGCCACGCGACCACATTTTTGAAGAAGATAGTCCTTTAGATTGCTAAAGAATGCCATGTGATCAGACGTATTGACAGTGCCAAGCAACAAAGCGGTGTGTATTTGACCCACAGGCGTACCCAATGTACCATGGTTAAGCTTCAAATAGACTTCACTGATGTAGCTTGCGACTTCTGCACATATGTCAGCAGAGGCGTTCACCAGACGAGACTAAACCGAACCGGATGACTAAAATTCAAATCACATACGTCCACATTGGTAAGAAACGCACTCCACTCACGTTGAAAAGCCTTCTGTTTAACATCGACATCAGCCGCAGTGTCAGTACGGGGGAAAAAACAAACATCCTAAAACGAAACAAGGGTGAAAGCCCAAAATAAATGCTAAAAGAAGCTCTGTAACCGACGCGTGCCTAGCAGATGATACTTTCAGCAACAATAAACAGTAAGTAAAAAAACCGGAAAAGGATAGAAACCAAGCATTTATTGCAATATTACGAGTGGAAGCACAAAGAACTAACCGGAATCAAGACCATAACAAAAAAGGCAAAGCGTCGAGAGGACGAAATTAGCGCATCTGGCAAAGGCAGAAGGAGAACGCGCATAGAAACAAAAAAATGTGTCAGCGATTACAAAAAAACAATAATGCTAGAGAAAATTTTTTAGTTTAATTTTTAAAAATGTGCGCAACATTAAATGCTGCTAAGATTCGAAAAGCAAAACACTGGGTATAAATTAACTTAGGGGAAAATGATTCCTACACAATTTAAACAGCATATGATGCTACGGAAGACTGTAATGCGTGTAAGAATTCCAAAAATTTGACGTGTATTTTCAAAGTCAACAATTCAATAGAGAATCAAGCGCTTTAATGTGAGTTGCTTAAATTCAACCATTAAAGGCTACATTCTGCTGCGCCTTTACACTTTCTAAAAGAATAGCTCGCCCCCATGAAATTAAAATGTGCTTTAGCTAATGTGAGAAATTTGTCAGCGTTAGTACCTACTTTCTGAATTCACAGTTAAATTGTGAAATTCAAGGTCAACGCTTGGGTTCATTTATGCTTGCTGTGTTCCATGGCTTGACCTTCACATAGAAGCATAAGGTATCAAGTGTTGGTGAACTTAGTGGAGGAGGAATTCCTCTTATCATGTATCTACTTTCATATCATTGCATTTGTCGGTTAGAGGATGCTTGTTTCTTATATCGGTGTTTCTTGTGTATGTTTCCCAATTGCCTGTTTTTTTGGGAATATTGGCTGAATTTCGCCTTGACGTGGCGCAATTCCTTTCTTGGTGATTCTCGCCTGAAGTCGTGATAGATGGTACCGCTACAGAGGAAGACTTGTTATGGAGGCGCACAATCAGTGGGCGCTGGAGGCGTGCCGTGGGAGCCCCTATGCCGAAGCGAAGCAGAGGCTGTGGAGACTGAGTTGTTTCCACCGTGATACATTTATTTAACCGAGACGCTATTTCATTACATGGTGCTCTCCTTCCTTGGAGGGTCGTCTTTGACGCTCTGTTGAGTCATTGTGTGTTGGCCACTGCGTCGTAGACTTTACTTCGGGAAGTACCTTGAGTCGGGAATGGCTACATTGAACTTGTAGTGTAGATGCGATGTTTGATTCCAGTGCCAGTAGTACATCTCGCTGCCTCCTTTGCATCTGGAGTAGGGTTGTCTTTGTGAAGTGAAGAGGGGAAGTGGAGACTCGATAGCTTCATATTGATCAAGGCTAGACAATATCCCACAATGCGTGCATTTCGTGTAGGGATCGTTAATTGTAAGAACGTCGGCCCAAAAGTAGGCGCAATTGATGGAAGGGAATGTAAGATGCATTAACGGAGTTAATATCCTGCATCTGTTGCATCCTGTCGCTCTGCCCGCGCCTATGTGGGTTGTGATCAGGTAGGGGAAAGAGGCCATGCC